GCTGATAGGGAACCTCTGCATGAATCTCTCCTCGCTCTCTGTTCTCTGTCAGTTTTCTCACTCCATTTGGTACTTGGCTGAGTTCTTTTTCTCTTCATTTGATATTTGGGGTTTCAGGATTGCTGTTTTCTGTTTGGCTTAGTTTTTCGGATCTTTGCTGTGGAGGGACAGCATGGTGGTTCTGCCTAGAGCGCCATGTTGCCGGAAGTCCCCAAAAGGACTCTTTCTAGGTTTGGTGAACAGTGAGGCACATCCTTTCAACCAACTCCAGACAGAGTTAGTTTCCAGATTCCAACTTCTTGCTTGAAGAGGAGCCCTAGGATCCATGGAGAAGGACTCTTCGAGGACATAATAAGAATATAAACTATTCTTCCTTTCTCTAATGAGGCCTATGACCACTTACCATGGTAGCTATGCCCTAGAGAAAGGGAAGTATCTAGACCTTTCAGGAATTTTAAGTGCTGGCTCTGAGCTAACGTAATCCCTGGGGATCCAAAACATCATAACAGTCTGCCTGTCAGATTAGGAGCTGATGGGAGTAAGGCAATAAATAGATAGATTCAAGCTTGGCCTGATTCTATCTCACTGTGGATCCAGTGAGTCAATAACCCAATCTGTGTTATTTCCTCAATGTCTGAGTATATGGTTGGAATGAGAAAGAAAAACAAAAATGTTTAAATCCTATGCACCAAAGTATTACTAAACTATCCAGACAAATGATGATAATAGCTAATATTTGCTATTGAGTGCTTATTATGTGCCAGGCACTGTGCAAGTGTTTTACATATGTGATCTCATTTAATTCTTTCAACAAACTCTATTTGTTGTTCCTTTTTTTACCCCCACTTTACAGATGAGGTAACTGAAACCCAGAGAGGTTGGGTAACATGTCTAAGGATATACACCTCATGCATGGTAGAGCTGTGTACAGTCCAAACTCCTTGACAACAAAGCCCATGTTCTTGGTGACAGCTGTCTACTGCCTGATGTATGCTGTGTCACATGAATATTGATTTACTAATTAATTACTTTGAATTGAGAATCTTATGAAGTCATGTAAACCTATAACCAAAAAATCAAACCTGTTGCCATTGAGTCGATTCTGACTTGTCTTAGTCATCTAGTGCTACTCTAACAGGAATACCACAAGTGGATAGCTTCAACAAAGAGAAGTTTATTCTCTCACAGTCCAATAGGCTACAAGTCCAAATTCAGGGCATCAGCTCCAGGAGACGGCTTTCTGTCTCTGTTGGCTCTGGAGAAAGGTCCTTGTCATCATCAGTCTTCCCCCAGACTAGGAGCTTCTCTGCGCAGGAACCTCAGGTCCAAAGGACACGCTCTTCTCCCGGTGCTTCTTTCTGGGTGGTATGAGGTCCCCCATTCTCTGCTTGCTTCCATTTTCCTTTTGTCACTTACAAGAAATAAAAGGTGGTGCAGGCCACACCCGAGGGAAACTCCCTTCACATTGGATCAGGGATGTGACCTGGGTTAGGGTGGTGTTACAATCCCACCCTAATCCTTTTTAATGTAAAATTACAATCACAAAATGGAGGACAACTACACAACACTGGGAATCATGGCCTAGCCAAATTGATACACACATTTTTTGGGGGACACAATTCAATCCATGACCTGACTCATGGTGACCCCACATGTGTCAGAGTAGAACTGCACTCCATAGGGTTTCCAGTGGCTGTCATCTTTTGAAAGTAGATCATCTATAGCCATTTATTTTTCTTTTGTCTTTCTGCTTCATTTTTTAGATTGATTTCATGCTCAGGGGCTAAAGGCAGTCTGGTGTTGGCAGATGGAAAAGGAGATCTGAAGTTTCATGTCACTGCAGACCCATTCAAGGTAGACTTGGTGTCTGAAGAAGACATTGTGATGAGCGTAAACTCCCTGGGTCAATTATACTTTGAGCATTTACAGATCTCTCCCAAACAAAGGTATTTGTGCACAGTACTTGATAGATAAAGAACTTAAGAAAATCTGATTGGTTTCATCGTACTTACGATAGAAAATTGGTTTGCCTTATTTGCCAGCATATTGTTCTGAGAAATTTCATCTTTTAGACTGTGCAGGTGAATGCAGGCTTGATGACAACTAATGGTTCCTGAGCTTTTCTGAATGTGACACTCTTAACACATCTTGTGTGTTTGATTAATGGAATCCTGTAGCCTCCACGCCCCTCCAAAAAAATACTGTTGACAAATGTTAATGTGAACTAAAATGTCCTCAGAGTTTCACTTTACTCCCTTATAGTAACATGAGTACATAGTTGTCCAAGAATTTCCAGGGACCAACCACTTGATCAAATCTGTGGGGTGTGGGGCGGATGGAAAGGTCACATGAATTGGAAGGAAGTGGTGAGGAGAGGTTCTTCTTTCATTTTTATTACCATTGTTTTTAAATCCTCCGTCTGTGGTTCTTTCTGTTTTCATCATAATAGTGAAAACATTATAATGTTTACAGAAAGCAGTCAACATCCCCTATATTCCCATATAATCCTATTGCCTTCGAGTTGATTCTGACTCATAGTGACCCTATAGGACAGAGTAGAACTGACCCCATAGGGTTTCCAAGGAGCGGCTGGTGGGTTTGAACTCCCAACCTTTTGGTCGGCAGCCATAGCTCTTAACCACTGTGCCACCAGGGCTCCAGTAGATTCCCATATAGTGACCTTTTTCTGGGTTTCAGCTTTTTTCAATTTTTAAATCTTAATTACAAATATTTGATTTTCTTGTCACACAAGTAATATGTATTCATTGTAGGCAAATTAGAATATATTGATAAGAAAAAAGAACATCTGAAATACCCATAATCCCACCACCTACTCTGTTAGTACCTTATGAATGTTCTTTGAGTACTTTTTTTCACTGAAAAATACTAATAATAACGTAACACATACCTGTGTACCCAATCGCCAGGTTCTTTAAAGCATTTATTTCAATAAACCCCCATTATTTTTGCTTTGTTTTGTTTTAGAAGTGATATCTAAGTTGGATCCTTTTATTTTTACCTTTTTTTTCTTTTTGAATAGGCAATACTTGCACACGATACTAAGAGGTATACAGTGAAGAATCTCCCTCGGGCTTTTTCCCTCAGCCACCCAGTTCCCATCCCTGAAAGTAATCAGTGTTGCCAGTTTCTTTTGTATCCTTCAAGGGATAATTTATGCCTGTACAATAAAAGCGACATATCTATTGTCTTTTCCTTTCCAGACACAAACGGTACCATTTTGCACGTTATCCTGCATCTGGCTTTTTTCCTTTAACAGTATGATGGCTCCTAATGTTTTAAAGCGGCTACATCATTTCTATTGTTTGGTTGCACCATGATTCACTTATTAAGTTCCCTACTGATGGACTTTAAAATTGTTTATAATCCTGTTTTATAACTCATTATGTCAATGAATAACCATGCATATATGTCATTTTGCACGCATGCAAGTACATCCATAGGCTAGAGTCATAGATGTATACTTGGCTGATCAAATGATTTGTGCATTTGTGATTTTGATAAATTTTGTCAAATTGCTTTCCATAGAGGTTATACTAGATTATGTTTCCACCACCAATATACAGTAGCACTGATTTGTTCTAGAGATGATATCTAAGTTGGGTCCTTTTAATTTTTATTTTTACTCTTTTTTTTTTTTTTTTTAATGAAATAGGCACTACTTGCATAGCGTTAGCACTCTGTTAGCTACCCAGTTCCCATGCCTGAAAGTAATCAGTGATACTAATTTTTCTATGACCCATACAGTATGTTACCGAACGTGTTGATATCTGCCAGCCTGTTAGGTGAAAAATGATATTTCAATGAGGTTTTCAAATGCATTTCTCTTACTATGAATAAGGTTGATGAAGTTTTCACATGTTTAAAACTTATTTATTTTTCTGTGAACTATCTTTCTCTTTTTTTTAATTTATTTTATTTTTGTTGTTGAGAATATACATAGCAGAACATAACACCAATTCAAAAATTTCTACATGTACAATTTAGTGACATAGATTACATTCTTTGAGTTGTGCAATCATTCTTTTTTTCCTGAGTTGTTCTTCCCCCATTAACATAAACTCATTGTCCCCTAAGGTTCCTATTTAATCTTTTGAGTTGTTGTTGTCAGTTTGATCCCATATAGCTAGATCTTAAAAGAGCACAATGCTCAAGGCAGATATTCTTCACTAATTAAGCTAAACTGTTATTTGATTTTAAGTTGACTTCAGGGGATATTTTTGGTTTAAGGTTTAAAGAGCAATAGTTTCAGAGGGTCGTTCAGCCTTCGTGGCTCCAGAAATCCTGGAGTCCATGAGAATATGAAATTCCATTCTGCATTTCCCCCTTTTGAGCAAAGATTCTTCTATAGAATCTTTGATCAAAATGTTCAGTAATGGTAGCCGGGCACCATCCAGTTCTTCTGGTCTCATGGCAAAGGAGGCAGTTATTCATGGAGGCAATTAGACACACATTTCATACCCTCCTCTTGTTCGTGACTCTTCTCCTTCTGTTGCTCCAGGCAAATAGAGACCAATTGTACCTTGAATGGCTGCTTGCAAGCTTTTAAGACCCCAGGCGCTGAACAATAAACAAGGAGGTAGAACAGAAGCACTAAACACGTTAATAGGCCAATTAACTGGATGTCCCATGAATCCATGAACCGAACCTCCAAACCAAGGAACCAAATCCCGTGAAGTGTTTGGTTGCACATAAGCAGCCTCAGCAGCTACTCTTTATTTTGTTGTTGTTGTCAACCTTCTGTGAACTATATTTTCATATCCTTTGCCTACTTTTCTACTAAGTTGTTGGTCTTTACTTAACTGATTTGTCAGCACTCTTGGAGAAATCAGCCTTTGGTCAGTGATGAGTTGCAAATCTTGTCCCTCACTTTTTGAGTTTTTTGTTATTTTTTTATGGTAGATTTTGCCATGTGGAAGTTTATTATTTTTATGTGGCTGATTTTATCATTTTTTTCCTGTGTTTTCAAGGTTGAGTCATCCTTAAAAAGTCTTCCTATCTTTGATATATATATATATATTTAAACTATCCTATGATTTCTTCTAGAGTTTTTTTTTTAACATTTAAATACTTAATCTCCACAAGACTATGTTTATTGATTATAAAGATTAATGAAGAAGACTCATATTTGGTGGGTAAGTACTGGAATTGACTTGAATGCCTTTCAGAATCACTTGGAAATTTCTTTATACATAGCTATTTGCCTTTTGTTGATAATTATTTTATCTATGACTTTAAAAATTTTGTTATCATGATATATTTTAGTATTCTTTTTCAACAAAATTCTAGCCAACAGACTTCAACAACATATCAAAAAAATCATACATCATGATCAAGTGGGATTTATACCAAGGGTGGTTCAACATTAGAAAATCAATCACTGTAATCCACCACATAAATAAAACAAAGGAAAAGAACCACATGACCATATCAATTGATGCAGAAAAGGCATTTGATAACATTCAGCACCCTTTGGGACAGTTCTACTTTGTCCTATAGGGTCGCTATCAATCAGAATCAACTTGATGGCAGTGAGTTTGTTTGTTTTTTTGTGTTTTTGGGGTTTTTTTTTTTGTTCCTGATAAAAACGCTCAGCAAAATAGGAATAGAAGGGGAATTTCTCAACATAATTAAGGGCATATATGCAAAACCAGCAGCCAACATTATACTCAACGAAGAAAGGCTGAGAGCCTTCCCTTTGAGAAGTGGAACGAGACAAGGATTACCACTCTTACTCAGCATTGTACTGGAAGTCCTAGCCAGAGCAATAAGGCAAGATGGAGAAATCAAAGGTATCCAGATCGGAAATGCAGAAGTAAAGCTACCTCTATTTGCAGATGACGTGATCCTATACATAGAAGACCCTAAAGATTCCACAAGGAAGCTACTGGAACTAATAGAAGAATTTAGCAACGTTGCAGGGTACAAGATCAACACACAAAAATCAGTTGGGTTCCTCTACACTAACAAAAACTACTCTGAAAAAGAAATCAAGAAAACAATACCATTTACAAGAGCCCCCAAATCGATAAAATACCTAGGAATTATCCTAACCAGGGATTTAAAAGATGTATGCAGTGAAATTTATAAAACACTACTACAAGAAACTAAAAGGGACCTAAATGGAACTAAATAGAAGCACATCCTGTCCATGGATTGGAAGACTTAATATAGTGAAAATGTCAGTCCTACCTAAAGCCATCTGCAGATTCAATACAATCCCAATACAAATCCCAACAACATTCTTTACTGAAATAGAAAAGCTGTTGACCAACTTCATATGGAAAGGAAAGAAACCCCAAATAGTCAAAGGAATATTGAAGAAAAAGAGCAAAGCAGGAGGTCCTACACTGCCTGATATGAAAACAGACTATACAGCCACTGTGATCAAAACAGCCTGGTATTGGTTCAACGATAGACACATAGACCAGTGGAATAGACTTGAGAACCCAGAATTAAACCCAGCCATCTATAGACAACTGATTTTCAACAAGGAGTCAAAATCCATTCAGTAGGGGAGAAACAGCCTCTTTAATCAATGGTATTGGCAAAACTAGTTATCCACCTGCAGAAAAATGAAACAGGACCCATACCTCATACCATACAAAAAAACTACCTGAAAATGGATCAAAGACCTAAATGTTAAATCTAAAACCATAAAATTCCTGGAAGATAAATTGGAAGAATTATGAGACAAAATCTTTGGTAAAAATAGGATAGCAAACATTTCAGCAAATGTACAAATAGAACAAGACAAAATAGATAAATGGGACCTCTTAAAAATTAAAAGCCTGTGCTCATCAAAAGACTTTATTAAAAGAGTAAATAGACAACCTACAGACTGGGAAAATGTCTTCAGAAACAATTTATCCAATAAGGATCTAGTCCCTAAAATCTATAGAAAACTCAACAACTCAACAACAAAAAGACAAACAACCCAATCACAAAATGGGCAAAGGACATGAACAGGACCTTTGAGGACAAAGAGGAGATCTAAGCAGCCAACAAACATATGAAAAGGTGTTCACGATCATTAGCCATTAGAGAGATGCAAGTCAAAACTACAATGAGATACCATCTTACCCCAGCTAAAATGGCACTGTTTAAAAAAAAAAAAAAAGATAACCACAAATGCTGGCTAGGATGTAGAGAGATAAGAGCCTTTATCTATTGCTGGTGGGATTGTAAAATGGTACAACCACTATGAAAAGCGATATGACTCTTTCTCAAAAAACTAGAAATAGAACTACCCTATGATCCAGCAATCCCACTGCTAGGTGTATACTCTAGAGACCAAAAAGTAATGACACAAACAGATATGTGCACACCTATGTTCATTGCTACTTTATTCATAATAACAAATAAATGGAAACAACCAGTGTCCATCAACAGATGAATGGATAAGCAAACTGTGGTACATACATACAATGGAATACTGTGCAACCAAATAGAACAATGAGTCCACGAAACATAACATGGATGGACCTGGAGGGCATAATGCTTAGTGAAATATGTCAAGCATATGGGACAAATATTGCATGATCCCTCTTTTATAAGAGGACAAGTATAGATAAATATAGAGAAACCAATGTTCATTGGTGGTTACCGGGAAAGGGGGTGGGTACGCTTTATACAGTAGAGACTAGTTATGTTTGGTAATGGCACTGATTGTGAATGTAGTGAGTACAGCACAGCCAAAGTAATAACAAGCACGTGAGCACATATGGATGGGTATAGGCAAACTGGAATACGGGTAGGTACAGATGCGCCCGTAAGTGAGAACAGATAGAAGTATCTATAGGTACGTGTAAGTACAAATATGTAGGTGCAGGCGCATATATTCATTGAAGACACAAAAACGGATATTCCTCAGACATAACCAAACACCTTCCAACATTGGTTTTCTGGGATTGAAGCCTTAGGATCATAGTCTCATGGGACAACTCAGTCAGTTGACATAACATAGTTCACAAAAATCATGATGTACATCCCAGTGAAGTGAGTAGTGTTTGGGGCATTAAAAGCTTTCAAGTGGCTATCTAAGACACAGCTACGGGTCTCGACTCGCCAGGAGCAAAACAGTAAGAAGGTAACCAAAAGCACAGAGAAGAAACAAGTCTGTAAGAGCCACAACCTCACTACCCCAAGACCAGAAGAACTAGATGGTGCCTAGCTACCACCACTGACCGTTCCGACTGGGGCCACAATAGTTAGTCCTGGGTAGAATGGAAGAAAAACATGGAGCGGAACTCAGATTCTTATTTTAAAAAAAGCCAGACAAACTGGAACAGTAGAGAACAGAAGACCCCCTGAGACTATCGCCCTGAGACATTCTTTACATCTAGAACCAAGCTGATTCCCTGAGATCGCCTTTTAGCAAAATAGCAGAGTGGCACACAGAATAAAGGACATCACCCATAAGATGGATTCCATACTTAAAAAACCACCAGGATGAGACCAAAAGGTCAACAATTTCTCAGAAGCAAAGATGAGAAGATAAGGGGGCAGGGAAACTAGAGTACCAGAAAGGGAACAAACAGAATACAATTAAAGAGAATGCTGACACATTGTAATAAATATAGCTAATGTCACTGAACGATTTGTGTGGAAATTGCTAAATGGGAAACTAACTTGCTGTGTAAACTTTCACCCAAAACTCAGGAAAAAAAAAAAAAAAAGATTGATAAAGTCCAGTGGGGATATGGGCACTCAGATACCACTGTGGGTGGTCGTGTAAATTGTCACAACCATTTTAGTGGACAGTACAGTATGTCATTGTGTACTGGTGTAATGCTGGGGGGGGGAACTATGTACTACTTTGTTTACTTACGTTTTGTTGAAATATTATGAGCACGTATTACATTTATAATGAAAAACTGATAAAGGTATTCTTGAAAAGTGTAACAAAATTTTGCAATACATTTTAATTTTTATAAGAAATCAAGCTTTGTATAATATTGGATAACTTTTCGCCATTGATGTTCAAATTTATAAACTTATTTTTATTTTTACAACATTATTTTGTGTGTGTGTGTCCATAAGCACAATCTTTTTTTAATGTGTGTGTGGTGAATAGATTTGTAACAGAACAGCATTATTCACGTGTACAGTTCATGACATTAATTACGTTCATCATGTTGTTCAGCCATCAGTCACCCTTATCCAGATTTTCCTGTCACCCTTACCAGAAGCTCGGTGTCTTCTAAGCACTGAGTTCTCCTTTCCACCTTCCTCCTGCCTTCCCCTGGTGACCACTCATAAACCCTGGTCTCCGTATGCTTCCCTATGCAACATTATTTTTAATAAATTAAAGGATATAAATTTATGGGATCTCAAAATTGGAAATGAAAATCTTTGTCATTGAACAAAATTCTATCAATCTTACCAGAAGTGAAACAACTTTATTTGTTTTAAAACAGAGCTACCAAAGAAAATGAGGATGACGCATCAGTTGACACCTCTCAGGTAATCTAGATTGAGCAATTTATCTTTTTTTTTATCTCCTTCACCATCACCATCATCATCATGTGGCATATAATGAGTTCTGTTCCTCCCTTCGTCTAATACAGGTGGGTACTTGTTAAATGTTCTACAGCATATAAACGGGTCCATCTACTTCTTTTGTTCTCCTTATCATCCTGTTGATATTTTCATTCATTTATGCATTCATGTATGCTTTCATTCATCAAACAGGTACTTCCTGAGTGCCTGCTTTGTGCCAGGCATTGTGCTAAATCAGCAAAGGAGAATCAGTGAATAAAACAAGTCCGAGACCTGTTCTCATGAGACAGCCTATTTGGAAAGACAGACATTGACCAAGTAATTACAAGCATGAGGGTGTTACTAAAGGGCGCTATAGGAGTATACAACAAGGAACTTGACCAAGATGAGGGTCAGGAAAGACCTTCCGAAGGAAATAAAGTTAAAACCTGAAGCATGAGGAAACATTAGCTAGTCAAAAAGTTGGGAAAAGACTATTCCAGCTAAAGGGAACTGCATATTCAAAGACCTTGAGGTATAAAGGAGCACATTTGAAGAAGTGAAAAAATATATGTCTCTTTAAGTTGGAGAAAGGGAAGAGTGTTGTGTAACCAGGCTAGAGAGATAGACAGGGCAATTCTGTGGAGAGTTCATGTTTTAGTTCTTGAGTGCCTCTTATATACCAGGCACTATTCAAGGAAGGGAGCCCTGGTGGCACAGTGGTTAAGAGCTTGGCTGCTAATCAAGAGGTCGGTGGTTCAAATCCACCAGCTGCTCCTCTGAAACCCTATGGGGCAGTTCTCTGTCCTATAGGGTCACTATGAGTCAGAATCAACTCGATGACAACAGGTTTGGTTTTGGTTTGCTTCAAGGAATTGGTGGTACATTGAACAAAGCAAAGTCCCCCATTCTCATGGAGCTTACATTCTTCTAAGCCATGTTAAGCTTTTTGAACTTCAAGAGCAAAGGAGAATATGGAAAAGTTTTCAACAGGTCATGGTCAGATTTCTGTTTTTAAAAGATTGTTTTGGCTGCATTATGCAGAATGAACACTCCAGAAATCTCCTTTTACCCAGAGCCACATGATCTTTAAAGGAGTCCTGATAGCAGCTGTGACCACTAGTTATGGTGAAAATATTTTCAGTGTAATAAGGACAAATGTTTCTTCCTCTTGATGACTGACCCATTCTGATGAGCATGAGAGAGAATAATTTCTCCATTTCCAAATAGACCACATAAGGGCAACTAAGGCATAGCCTTCCAGTTTTGTGACAATATGTCAAATCAGCTTTGGGGACATAGGTGCTGAAAGCCCTTAGGTATTGGTTTTGAGTCATAGACCCCTTTGCAAGAACTTGATGAAAGCTGTGAACCCTCACGCTGTTTGAGGGAGATCACAGACTCGAAAGCATCCCTTGGCCTCCGGTCAGTACCTCTGAGTTAAGGATTCAGATGCGATTATAAAAATTTTAAAGAACACAGTCTCACTTCACACAGAAGCTTTAGTTATAAAGAAACAACCTAGAGATGGGAAAAGAGCTCATTTTAAAGAAATAAGCATTTCATACACATGCATAATTTTTTTTTTTTTTTTTACCTTTCTCATTCTACTAGGGAGAAGGAGACTTTTGTAAAGTTAAGAAAGTGTATAGCTCCAGAATAAAATATTATGGACCTGAGCATTCATTGCCACCCCAGTTGACTTCTCATGCCAGTGCAGAAATATAGCCAATAGTCTGGCTAACTGGAGCAAGGAAAAAAATGTACGAAACAAATCTTTGCCTAGGGTCTCCCAAAACAGACCTAAGTTAGTTGATTCCAATGTTTTGCCTCACATGTTTATAAGCAAAAAAAAAAAAGGCAAGAAAATAGTAAAAAATAATTTCTTACAAATGTAAAGATTGTATTTTTCAAACTGCTTTCACATAATTTTGGTAAAGATATTTCTGTCAGCTGTGGTTCATAAAAATCATTATGAAAATTTATATAGAACACAGATTTGATTTGTTAAATGTGCTGAGATCACAAACTTGTCTTCTACAGGATGAACTAACTTTCCAGTCTAAGTTTTGAATAATCCAAATAAAAGGTGCTGTTGTGGTAACCATGTTTGTTGCAATTTATAAACTGAAGTTGTTCCCTTTTTTGTACCAGCAGGAAAATCAAAATGATATGGGCCTGTGGGAGGAGAAATTTGGAAAATTTGTAGATATCAAAGCTAATGGTAAGTTGAAACTGGTATAGTATTAAATAGGTCTTTCCAAAATGGTTGAAGTTTCTATCTAGAAGTCCCTTGAGCTTTGGCACCTAAGCAAGTGACTTCTGTAAGACGAACAGAAATCTCAGGTTTGGGTCCGCTATCCTTCAGTAATGTAATGCAACAAAGAAATGGTGATTATGTGTCTTTTGTGGGGAGTCTAAGGGAAGTATAGGCCTCCCGGAGCAGGTGGTCTCAGGGAGAAGTGTAGGTCAGCATACTGGTTGCATTGTCCAGTAGATCAGGAAGTTACAAATGCCACATTTCATTTTTATGTGAGCCTAGTGACAAAAAATCAAGTTTTAGAGCTCATCAGCTACAACATTCCAGACCAATGCATCTCAACCTTTTCCCAGCCTCCCCATCATTCATGTGGGTGATCCACCCCCATCTGTGACATTTCTCACTAGGTTAGTGATAGGTGGGAGGAGAGGAGGAGTTTATCTCTTTAAGAGGCACCTTTCAGATTCTTGGGGCTATAGTTGGAAAAAATACTCACTTTCCTCCTTTTTCCTCTCTAGCCCAAAGAATAATAAACTCTCTCTAACTCCTTAAAAATCCCTTGTATATATCTTTATCCACAGCATAGTATAATGATCAGGGCTGACAACAGGCCCAAGATTTTTAAGTGAAGGGACCTCAGGCTCCCCTCTCTGTAAGATAATCTTTTTTGCCTTCTCTGTAACATAAACTCCTACAATTAAGGATCATATAAATTAAAATACTTTTACCTAAGAGTGAATTTGAGTCGTTGTTAGCTCTCAACTACTGGCATTTCCCCATATCTCTAAAATAATTGTAAAATAGAAGTCTTTGTCTTTGATTAAAGAGTTTTATACGTCTGCATTCACAGGGAGGAAGTATTTTGAGGAGCCTTGTGCCCTTGACATTACAGTCCCTGTAGGTAGTCACCACCTCCATCTCCAGAGAAGACTGACATGAAGAAGACGTGATCAGGCTGAAGACACCCAGCCACGCGTCTAGGGAGGATGCAGATTACTCAATACCCTTCGCTTCCTGAAACAAAGAAGTAATGCAGTATATTTCTGGAAATATTTTATTACAAAAAATTTGTAACAACATTTTACAGATAGAAAGGATATTAATTGTAAATGAGGACACAAAGAGCTTCAGCACACAGCTAAGGAAACATAACTAATAAGTGATGGAACTTGCTGTATGCATTTTTGTACCCCCCACAACACCTTAGTATGACAAGTGTCACACAACGTTTGGAGACTGATCAGGGCAAATTCAGGTCTCTCAACCCCTAGTCTAGTCGTCTTGCTACACTCATCGTTCGCCGAATCTCTTTTTAATCGATTGTCCCGTTCAGAAGCAAAACTCAGTCAGGATGCTGTCTCTACAGGTCCTGCCTCCATTGGTTTGGATTTCTCCTTGCATGGATTCGAGCATCTTTATGGGATCCCACAACATGCAGAATCACACCAACTGAAAAATACTGGGTAAAGTAAAAAGAATTCTTACAGGCAGCTCTGGTTTCTAGATTGAAAAGGTTTGCAAGAAACATGTGCGAGATGTCTGAACCAACGCTAATATGTGGTCAGCCTTTGCCTCCTGATATTGCCTGTGGATCTTTAAGAACCTCCCTTGAATGATCACTCAGAGCAGTATTTTTCAAATTTTATTTTTTGCAAAAATTAGGCAATTAAAAAAACTAATGCAGAACCTAAAAATAAGCGGAAGCAAAAATAAGGAGCTGTTCTGGTTGAAGTGAGGGAGGCTCTGCACCACCACTCCCTCCCCGCATTTCGCTTTCACCTCTCGAGGCCTTTCCGTGGGGCCCCAGGAAATTCAGTGTGAAAATCATTGATCTAGAAACAGGCTTTTAGCAAAAGGGGCAGTGAGCCAGAGAACACGAAAGCATGGCATCTCATATCACCATAGGGAGATCATTTCAGGTGAATTGTTGGAAGATAGATGCCCAAGGCATCAGAGACTCAAAGGAAGGGAGCCTTGATCAAGAAACAGTAGAGAACTAGTCTGATCAAAGTTGCCAGGTTCAAGTGCTTGACAGGTTGGCATTGTGACAAGCACATCAGAAACCTGGAGAGGAGACGTTGCACTGAGCCATGCTGCTGTCACACGGACCTGAGCATTGTGCCCCACCTAATTCAGTTCCCGATCTTCGCCTGTTCAGCACTGTGTGAGCCCGTTAGGACACCAGCCTTCCATTTTAGCTGCAGAGACGAGACGTACTCACAAAATTTGTCAGCAGATACTTACTGTGTGCTTGCAATTGTGGAGGATTCACAGGAAACAGTCCTCCCTGATAAGAGATATTTTAAACAGATAAGTAAGATGTGTGATCACGTGCGCGTTAATTGTCACATGAGGGAGTGCCACAGGAGTCAGGGGAAGGTCACGTTCACCATTCACCGCAGATGGGTCGGGAACCTTTACAGAAGTGCTGAGAATTGAGCCTCGCCAGTTGCCTAGGACCAACTGTTTACAGGGGCAGGTGGAGCTGTTCCATTTATTGATAATACATTTGTGGTGGTAATTAATGATAACCCTTATTTGTGCGTTTCAGTGATGGAGATGCTTACCGTCTTTATAACCTGGATGTCTATGGATATAAGATACATGACAAAATGGGCATTTATGGCTCAGTGCCTTATCTCCTGGCCCACAAACTGGGCAGAACTCTGGGCATTTTCTGGCTGAATGCCTCAGAGACACTAGTGGAGGTCAATACAGAGCCTACAGTAGAGGTGAGCTATGGACCAGGGCGGTGGGCACATTTACACAGGAACAACCATGCAGTGTCTTCATAGCTCTTTGTACGCTGCCACCAAAGGCTGTGCAGGATAATCAGTCAATGCCAGTAGTACCTACTAAAAGAGCAGACTGGGACTCACAGTTGGATGGGTACTCTGAGTGAGAGGGACGTTTTTCAGATTTTCATTTCATTCCTTTCCCAGTACACACTGACCCAGATGGGCTCTGTTGCTGCTAAACAAAAGGTGAGATCTCGAGCTGATGTGCACTGGATGTCGGAGAGTGGAATCATTGATGTCTTTCTGCTGATGGGACCTACGCCTTCTGACGTCTTCAGGCAGTACTCACACCTGACAGGTACTTGCGTATGTAGAAGTCCCAGTTTCTCGTTTTATCTGATTTCCTCTATCCTGTGTATCGCCACTATACTTCAGTATTTGTTACATACCATACTGAACATTTAAACAGCTTAGCTGAGATTTTTAAGAAGCAGGAATTCCTGCTCTCACCCTCATGCCTTTCAGCTTGGTTAAACAAGGCCCTGGGTCCAGAACTCTCTAATGCTTAATACTTGCCATTTACCTTCCTTGGAGCCTTTAGACAGGTAGATAGCTACTGTCTAGTCAACTCCAACCCATGACAGCCTTATGTACGACAGAATGAAATGCATCCTCGTGATTGCCAGCATGTTCATGTCCATCACTGGGGCTATTGTGCCAGTCTGTCTCACTGAGGCTCACCCTTGCCCTTGCTGGCCCTGGGCTTCACGAAACATGGTGTTCTTCCAGTGGTTAATCGCTCCTGATGACATGTCCAAAGAAACGAGTCGGACAATGTTATATTGTGATCCATAGATTTTCTCTGGCTAATTTTCAGAGGTAGATCACCAGGCCTTTCTTCCTAGTCTGTCTTAGTCTGGAAGCTCTGCTGAAACCTGCCTACCATGGTGACCCTTGAAATATTGGTGGCATAGCTTCCAGCATCATAGTAGTGGGCCAGCCACCACAGTACGACAAACTGACAGACGGGTGGTAGCCCCTGAATCTTCTCTACCTTTATCTCAGATAACCAATATCTCAAGCCAAACTTTCCAATGTTCTCTTCGTTAAAATATTCCACTGGCTTCAGCGATAAAGCATTTTATCTCTGTAAGCTATAAAAGAAAAACACACAGTGAGTTCAGTGAATTCATTAGAGCAAATTATTTTAAAATAAGATGATCTAATCATTAAAGTTCTTGTATTCTCACACACCTTTTGGGAAGAAAGAGAGCTTTGTGTTGTTTACATGATTCAGAAGACTACCGTAGGGATCTTTAGTTCAAACTTAGTATCAACAGTGGTGGAGGGGGAAGCACTCTACACTGCTGTCTCCTTACCCAGAGATTTCAGACTGGGAAATACATATACATATGTATTACTTTTTCTAACCTAGCCTCAAAAGTGATACACCATCGTTTGTGCTGCCTCCTATTATTAGAAGCCCACATTCAAAGGGAGGGGAATTAGATCCCACCTTTTGATGGAAGGAAACCCTGGTGGCGTAGTGGTTAAATGTTCAGCTGCTAAACAAAAGGATGGCAGTTCAAATCTACCAGGTATTCCTTGGAAACCCTATGGGGTAGTTCTACTCTGTCCTGTAGGGTTGCTATGAGTTGGAGTCAACTTGACATCAACAAGTTTGGTTTGTTTGTTTGTTTTGATGGGAGGAATGACAAAAAATTTGTGGATATGGGAAGGCACCCATACAAGAATAAGTATTGTCAAGGAGAGTGCCAGCTGCAGGCCCTTCCAGCATTGCTATTGGAGATAATGAGCCTGGTTGACGGGAAAGTGCTTCAAAAACGCTGGAGCTGCCACTGTGTTCAGTGAGACCCGATGTATAAGTTTAGAGATTATCCGTTGACTCCTGATGAGGATTTAACTCAATCATGTCCCTTCTTCCCCTTTCTCCCAATGTAGTTATACTACAATTTTTGGTTAAATCAGTATTCATTGTTTACATTTTTCAAATGCTCAAAGGCATCAGATACTTAGTCCATTCTTCTGCTCCTCCTAGAGACGTCCCTCCCCCCCGGGTCCATCTGTCCCCCTCCTGTCACTGGACTGTTGCTGTCTGGGCTCCCTGCACAGCTGTTCTCCCAGGTCTTCTCCTTGCTGTTGTCCTGGGACTTAACCCTCACTGTCTTCCAGTGTGGGATCCCGCCTTTCTCGGGTCCTGTGGTTTTTGCTTTTGTGGTTTATTCCCTTGTTTGTTTTTGTTTTGAAGCATCTTCTGGTAGTTTACTAAGAAAGTGTGCATGGGAGGTACACTTATTGAGTCCTTGCAGGTATGAAAATATCTCCTTTCCACCTTCACTCTTGATTGGTAATTTGGCTGGCTAGATTGAAAATTATTTCCCCTCAGAGTTTGAAGGCATTTCTCTTTTATCTTCTTTCTCCAGAAATCACTCTGGCTTCTATTCCTTTGCATGTGATGTATACTTTATCTCTGAAAGCTCTTAATGCCTCATGATACCCAACTGTCACTTCCTTGAAGGCAAGGACTCTTCCTTCTTCTTCCCAGTATTCTGAGCACCAGACTCAGGGCTTAGACTGCTCCCTTTGTTGGTATCTGGAACATGTTGACTGAATGAACAATGATCACTGTGGTGGTGTTTGGCTCAGTTGTCATCTTCCCCTGTTAGGGACACAAGCCATGCCCCCTCTCTTCTCCTTGGGCTATCATCAGTGCCGCTGGAACTATGAGGATGAGCAGGATGTAAAAGCAGTGGACGCAGGATTTGATGAACATGACATTCCTTACGACGTCATGTGGCTGGACATAGAGCATACTGAGGGCAAGAGGTACTTCACCTGGGACAAGAAAAGATTCCCAAACCCCAAAAGGATGCAAGAGCTGCTCAGGAGCAAAAAACGCAAGGTAAAGTAAGACAGTACTTCTGAACATTTAAATTACAGAGCTTTTTAATTTTTTAAACTTGCCTTGGCACATGAGTGGAGAACCATTTGTGAAAAATGGCCATGAAGACGGTGCCTTCAAATGGAATTGTACTTGATACCAGAGAAAGAAAAAGAATAGGGACCTTGCCTTAGCTGTCTAGGTCCTCGTAAGGATAAGGGGTCTAGCATTCCCAGTCCCATTTGTTGTGGACACCCTGTAGTGACGGGATGCCCCCCCACACACACACTCAGACAATTTGGTTTGGATGTTGAAATGATGAACCGAGGGCATAAGAAGGTTTTTACTCAGTTAACAAGGCTTTCTGAGGAAAGGGCTTTTTAGGGGGTGGGCCAGCACTTGGGTAGTTTGAGCTGGCCTGTCTTCCAAGCTGCTCCAAAAATGACTTGTGAGAGCTAGTAAAGGAGACTGGCTGGACTTTTATTGTGGTGAAAGGATGGGCCAGGAGCCTTGGTCGTGCCGTGGTTAAGCACTCAACTGCCAACCAAAAGGTTGGTGGTACGAACCCCACAGCTGCTATGTGGGAGAAAGATGTGGCAGTCTGCTTCCATAAAGATTACAGCCTTGGAAACCCTGTGGGGCAATTCTACTCTGTCCTGTAGGGTCTCTGTGTCGGAATCGACTCAACAGGTTTTTTGAGTGGGTGGGCCAGGGCGTGGATGGTTTGACCTTCCCACTGACACCAAGGAGGGAGCACTAGGGCTTTCTGGTCAGCTTGCCCGGCTGTGGGCAGAGAGTACAGGGGAGTGGTGGGGCTGAACGCTGTCGGCAGTCAGACATCAGAAACCAAGTCCAGTTCTGTATTACACCGTTTTTCCTTCATGCTTCCCTGATGGACTCCACCTGTCTGTCTGACCAAAAAAAGAATGGAAATAGAAAATGGGAGGGGGGAGTAGAAAATGGAAAGTGTGTACACTGTTCTCGTGTTCTTGGGGTGGTAGTGGTGATAGCAATGATGGAAAGGAGAGGGAGAGGAGACAAGGCAGAGGGGAGAAGGGGGATCCCCACATGTGCCGTGTACATCGATCCCTATAGTCCCTCTCCCTGAGATTTTAAGATTGCCTTTTCAATCTATTACTTCAATCTGCAGGTTTTTCACAGGTGAAATGCCAATCCTATTAACGTCTAATTTCCCAATTAATAGCTACCACTTACCAAGCACTTATTATGGGCCCGACATTATGGTAAAACACATTATTCCATCTAGCCATTACAAAACAATAAGATATAGGTCTTGTTAACCCCATTTTGCAGATGAAGAAACTGAGGCTTAGAGTGATTTGGTAGTTTGAACAAAGATGCACAGTGAGTAAGTGGCAAAGCAAGAATCTGAGCCACCTGGTCTGCCTGACTCCAGACTCTATGTCCTTATGGGCAGTTATTTATTGAGGTCTCATATGTTCAAGATGCTGCAGTAGGGCTGAAGGGAACGCAGAGATGAGCTCCTGGGGGTCTTACAGCGAGTGGGGGAGAGGCAAACATACAATAATCACAATACAGGACAGTAAGATATGGTAGGGGTGGGGGCAAGACAAAAGGAAGAAGCCTGCATCCTGCTGGAGGACCCGAGCAGAGCTTTGTGCATTTTAGATGAGTCCTGATGCGTCTCTGGAGAGTGGAGAGGGCTCAGTGCACAGAGACTGGAGCACCCAGGGCGTTTGGAAAGCAGCCCATAGCCTGGCTCCATGGGATAATCAGCACGTGCCGATGAGCAGTGGGGAATCTGGCTGGAAAGGTGGAGCTTATCGTAGGATGCTTTGTCTGCATTTGGAGGCTTTACACATTGGGAGCAATGGAGAGCTAAACTTTACTATGTAGGATGGATTAAAATAGAGATGAGGAAGTTGATTAGAAGTCTGTTCTAGTCAAATGAGGTGGAATTGAGGCCCTGGAGTAAGTGGAAGCAATGATATTACAAAGGCAGCGAGAGATGCTACAGACGCATGGCTGTGGAGCACAGCTTTCTCAAACCTCCTTCCTAAATATGCCTGTCTTCTTGGGGTTTTTTTGTTTTGTTTTGTTTTTAATATGTTGGTTTCTTAATTGTTTGCTTTTGTCGGTGTTATTTTAGCCTTTAAGAGTCTAGGAGGCAGGGACCCTGACTACTTGATCTTTTATGTACATCAGCCAGCACCCCAGACAGGTAGAAGCTTAATAAATGCCACCTTAAGAACATGTATTGTTCTGGCAGCAACAATTATAAAAGAGCATTGGAGACACAAGGAAAGTATTAGCCCAAGCGACAGAAAGGGCCACATAAACTGGAGACTTCATCAGCCTGAGACCAGAGGAGCTAGATGGTGCCCAGCTACCACCAATGACCTCCCTGACAGGCAATACAACAGAGAGTCCCGGATGGAGCAGGAGAAAGGTGGAGTGCAGAACTCAAATTCTAGTAAGAAGACGAGACTTAATGGTCTGATTGAGACTGGAGGAACTCCAGAAAGCATGGCCCCTGGATTCTCTATCAGCCCAGAACTAAAACAGTTTCCGAGGCCAACTCTTCAGACAGGGACATAAAGTGATACTCGTGAGGAGTGTACCTCTTAGCTCAAGTAGATACAAGAGACTAAACGGGCAGCTTCTGTCTGGAGGTGAGATGGGAAGGCAGAGAGGGTTAGGAGCTGGTTGAATGGACGTGGGGAATCGGGTGGAAAGGAAGAGTGTGCTATCATAGTATGGGAAGAGCAATTAGAGTCATGTAACAATGTATGTATAAATTTTTGTATGGGAAAAAAAAGAAACTCTGAGAGTATGGCCCCTGGACACCCTTTTAACTCAGTTCTGAGGTCACTGTTGAGATTCACCCTTCAGCCAAAGATTAGATAGGCCCATAAAAGAAAACGAGACTAACTGGGCACACCAGCCCAGGGGCAGGAATGAAGAGGCTGGAGCAGACAGGAAAGCTGGTAATGGGGAACCCAAGGTAGAGAAGGGGAGTGTTGATGTGTCCTGGGGTTGGCAAGCAATGACACAGAACAATATGTGTATTAATTGTTTAATGAGAAACTAATTTGCTCTGTAAACCTTCACCTAAAGCACAATAAAATTTGAAAATAAAGGAAAAAAAAAAAAAGAGCATTGGGCTAGTTTTAATATCAGTTTAAATTTTCATTAGCACATGAAAGTTCCAAGGTTTTATTTTTATCTGAAATTATTTCAATACTAGTAATTTCTGAGAAAAATTGGAACCCCAAAACTATAGTGAAAACATATAAATAAACATATGGTCCATAAAAACTGACAAGATCTTCAAACCTTTGTATCCTGACAGCTTGTGGTCATCAGTGACCCTCATGTCAAGGTGGATCCCGACTACTCAGTGTACGCTAAGGCCAAAGAACAGGGCTTCTTTGTGCGGAATCGTGAAGGCGGAGACCTGGAAGGGGTATGCTGGCCTGGTAAGGTATCACTTTGTACACGTATTATTTCTGCTTGTTCAGTCCCAGTAAGCCAAGGCCGCGTGGCCCTCGTTCTCATTCTTCCAGCTACATTTTAAGCTCCTTTAACAGATAGTATTGCCTTCTTTCGTCTCTTTCATAACTCTTGGTACAGTGTGCTTTGTATACATTTATCAATCAAAGAACGAATGAATGAATGATAAACAAACAAGGAAACCTTGGTGGCATGCTATTTCTGTAAGCAAATCAGGATAAAAAGTCGGGGAATGAGAAAAGGGGAGGAGGAGGGAAAAAAGTCTACAGGAGAAGCATCTGTAGTCTCTCTCCCTGAGATTTCTCTTTGCCCTCTTAGCCCAGAGCTTTCACTTCCCAGCCTTTCATGAGTAACCTCAGCTGCCTCTGGCCACTCTGGATTCTTCATTTCAAAAATTATTGATTTAAAGCCTTAGTAGGAACTCGCCAAGGACAAAAGGAAATAGCTGTAGGACCTGCTTTGATTTTAATGTCTAGGGAGGCACTCTGTTATAAATCCACATGTTGCAGAGAAACCCCCTTCATCTCTTTTCCCCTCATCAAATCACTTATAAAACATGTCTCTGATCTCCTTAAGAACAGAGGGGTCACTTCAGGATATTTGCTGCCCTTACTGGGCTATCTCAGGTCGAAATTGAGAGGCTGGCTCCATCTTAACGTTCATCCATTGACATTCCCGTGCACCACTGGTGTTGAAAGGTCTAGTGATCGTCACTGGAGCTCACCACACCTTCATTCGCTTCTCCCCAGACCATGCCTGTGTGTCAGTGACCTTTTACATTAGATGTCAGGTGCCCATTGATTACCCAGCTCTCGCACCTGATGTTCTTCTTTGGGACACATGTACCATGAGGACCGCTGTTCCTAACCAGCTGTCCACTGTCCTGCCTCCACAGGTCTCTGCTCTTACCTGGATTTCACCAATCCCAAGGTCAGAGAGTGGTATTCAGGTCTTTTCGCTTTCCCTGTTTACCAGGTTGGTTTTTATCTTTTTGCTCTTTCCTAGTTACTTGAAAGGATGAAAGGGGGGAAGGGACTGAACAGAACTTCTCTGCTTCACCAAGTAGCTCTTGATAAATAACGCTTGTATGAAACGGCAAGGATCTCATCCACAGTACAGACTTTGGTGGTGACGGGAGAGGTGCCGTATGCATTACCAAATGCACAAAAGCTGTGATTAGACTTCTATTATATGATTTAGCAAAGTACTTTATAATAGATTTATTGTCTTTTCAAATTAGTATGTACATTTTTATATAAAATAGTTGTTCTACAACTGTCATTTAAAGATAATGAGATGACATGTGAAAATATCTTGCAAAGTAGTATAAAAACCCATTGCCATCAAGTCAATTCCGACTCATAGCAACCCTACAAGACAGAGTAGAATGGCCCCATAGGGTTTCCAAGGAGTGGCTGGTGGATTCACACTGCCGACCTTTTAGTTAGGAGCAGAGCTCTTAACTGCTTTGCCACCAGGGCTCCGCAAAGTAGTATAACATGTCATAAAAAGTAAGGTATAATACTAAATCAATTCTTAAAATCTTATAAGAACCACAGAGACAACTGGAGAACTGTTCAGTGAATTATGATGATATTGCAGCTGCAGCTGCTGCTGCTGATGATGATGATGATGATGATGGTGATGGTGATGATGATGGTGATGGTATACATAGAAATAGTTCAAGGTAAAGAGTCAAAAGACATGTAGGCCACATATGGACGAGGCAGCAGATGTGTTCTGTGGTGTCCCAGAAGGAAAGCAAGGACCTGTGAGGGGATATTACAAAAAGCAGAACTTTCAGAAAATAATAGAATGTGCTGCCTGAAGGACTCCTTGTCATTGCAGCTGTTCAGTCAAACGCAGAGATGAGGGCTTCCGTGAAAAGGATTGCTACGCCGTGTAAACTAGATGACCCAACTGTCTCTTCCCACTCTTCCATATAGAACACTAACTACAGATCATGATAGCAAGTGGGCATCTTAGCTGTGAGATCTTTCAGTGTTAGAGAGAAGATACACTCTTGTCATGTACGGCTGTAACTGCTCTTGGTTAAATTAAGAATTGTAGCAGACAACAGGTGATGTAGAGCCTAATTGTGAACATTCACAACCTTTCCTGTGGGGCTTCTCCGGGATATGTCTCAGAGTGGACTTTCTGGGCAATATATATTTCGCAGACAATACAGCTCATTATTTCTTTTATCAGCAAATACTTATTGAGAACTTTCTAGAGAACAGGCACTATTCTAGGTGTTTGGAATTTATCAGTGAACAAAACAGACAAAATTCCCTGCTCTGTGGAACTTACATTCTAACAGAGGAGCAGGACAGAGCACAGATAATAAAATAAATGAGCTAAGTAGAACAGGAAAGAGGAATGGAGAGGCTGTCATATTAACATTATCACTGTGAGATTATTATCATGACCAAGAGTTACTTCCTAGGGATCTACTGACATCCTCTTCATATGGAACGACATGAATGAGCCCTCTGTCTTTAGAGGGCCAGAGCTAACCATGCAGAAGAATGCCATCCATCATGGCAATTGGGAGCACAGAGAACTTCACAACATCTATGGTTTTTACCAGGTAAGACACCTAAAAAACAGTCAACTAGTCCCATGTGTCCTGCCATTTCTCTTTGTAGTGACCATACTATACTGTTCATTTCTCTTTGCCTTTCTTTTCAAATAGCTGCATTGACTCTTACCAACTGTAGCCAAGACAAGATGTATTATTTTTACCTTTGCTTTATTCCCTTCCATAATGAACTTCACAAATTGACAAAAGTTGTGAGACTAATAACAACCTAGAAACTTTAGCCTTGATAGGAACCATTAGAAACATCACTGGATACTCCCTCAAAACTTTTATTGAGGAAAGCAGTGCATAAATATGTAAACAACGGCAATGAAAACAAATTTTTTACATTTCACAAATGTCTAAATACAACAAGACCAGGGAAGCAAGATTTAGAACACAGATAACGCAATTTCAATAAATGTACTTCTTAAATGTAGAAAGCTTTTCTCAAGTTCTTAGCCTCCTCAATAGAAAGTGGTAGAATTGTCTTCCATTTACCAATCACATCCAAAAGACTTGGCAGTCACTTATCCTAACTTTTGCCCATGGTTCCTTGCTATTTTCAAAATGTGACTGTATTCCCATGGCCCTCCCCCCAGGTGGTGTTTTCTAGTGGGAGCTGCTGGCTAGATATAGCACGGTTTTCAGATAGTATTTGTTTCCTTCTCTAATGACCTGTTGCTATAACTGCAAATTGCTTTAGTTAGAGAATTTTCTTAGGTAGGCTAGGGCCGCTTAATTTCTCTGAATCTCAGTGTTTTCATCTGTCACAATCGTCTATCTCAGAGGTTGTTGTGTGAATTATATGAGAAAATCTTGTAAAATGCCTAGTAATAGTAAGCACTGAATAAATGCTAGCTTATTATTTACTATTATTTTCGCTCTATTGTTAATAAAAGTGATTTTGCTGTTTTTTTAATAGGGAAATTTAGAGTCATTTCATTACATCATGGAAGTTATTTGATGGGTTATTTTAAGATTCTCCATTTCACATTCCCACCTACTTTTGATGTTTTGCATGCTAAGTAGCTTATCGGGAAGGCCCGCACACTGCCCCAATCCAGTCATCTCTTTGAAATTTTGCTTCTTTGACTTTACAGCAAATGGCTACTGCAGAAGGACTGATCCGGCGGTCAAAAGGGAAGGAGAGGCCCTTTGTTCTTACACGTTCTTTCTTTGCTGGGTCACAAAAGTATGGTAAGGAATGGCTCATTATCAGACCTAAAACCCAAGTTAGCAACCAGTCTCTTTGGACCATTTATGGTATATGCTGCTGCTGTATGCCTACCCTTCTAGTAGCCATTGGGCAGGCTTTAGATTGTAGAGAATGATGTGCCCTAAAGTATGCATTTTGTCCTATGAGAGATTAAACCAACTGTAATAATTTTGGGTCCTTGTTTCCCGTTGAAGAACTGGCCACTTAGTTGTTGGGAGAGTGACTGTCAGGTATCTCCGTTTGCTCAGGTCAGGTCCCAGTGCCAGTCATCTCTGATCTCTTCAGTTTGTCGAAACCAGAGAAAATACACTAACAATTCCTCGCCCATCTGTTCCATTTAGCAATATGGCTTAAAATAGACCTGGCTGTTGCTGGTGGTCAGGTTCTGCTATAAATGGATCCAGTTTACTAGCTAATGAAGATCTAGTTCTACTTAACCACTCTGTGGCAGGAAGGCTATTTTAAGTCCCCTGATCTTGCACAGATAGCTGAGAGCTTAGTCCTAGTTATAAGAATGCAGCCTTTACTGCACCATAGACATTATTAGGCCTTCTGCTCCACCCTGGAAACCAGCCCTGCAGTACTCTGGAGAAGGCCAAAATAGCGTCATCTCAAGCAAAGATTCACATACAGGGATGCTCATCGTAGCATTAGTCCTTGAAACAAAAGAAAGTCTAAATATCCAGCAGGAATACAATAGTTATAAAAGCATTATGTAGATAGTAATCTAAATTGATAAGTAGATAGATAGGCAGACAAATAGAATATAAGAAGATATAGTACCTTGGGGATTATGAATGATTTTCATTTTCTTTTTACCCATCTCAGGTTTTCAGATTCTCTAAAATATTTTTAATCATTAAAAAATGTAATGGATTTTTAATAAAAATGTTCATAAGCAGCAGTTAAGAGAAAATCATAGAAGATATGAATACTAAGTAAACTTTGATCTCTTAAATATTGGACCCCTGCCTAGTCTTCAGTACTCTGTGTGCAGCTATCGCTTTGCCCCGTTACATAGCAAAGCATTACAGAGAACTCTGTTTTGTTAACATCATATACTGTGGATTGTCAAAAGAACGAACAAATCTGTCTTGGAAGAAGTACAGCCAGAATGTTCCTTAGAAGCAAGGATGGCGAGACTACATCTCACATACTTTGGACATGTTATCAGGAGGGATCAGTCCCTGGAGAAGGACATCATGCTTGGTGAAGTAGAGGGTCAGCAAAAAAGAGGAAGACCCTCAATGAAATGGATTGACACAGTGGCTGCAAATGGGCTCAAGCATAACAATGATCGTGAGGATGGTGCAGGAGTGGGTAGCGTTTCATTCTGTTGTACGTGGGGTCGCTATGAGTCGGAACCGACTCAATGGCACCTAACAACAGTACTGACGCCAGTAGTCAGAGAGAGCTTCTGACTCAACAACCATATGAGACATGAAAAGTTTTATATTTACATGAGCATTCTTTCCTGATGAGAATGTTACTATGTGGATTTCAAAATCATTATGTAGATTTATACATATCCCACTAAATTCCAGGAGAAATTGTTAGAGCACTGTTTAAAAAGAACAGCCCCTTGAAAATGTTTCCTTTGCTGGCCATAGGCTGGCCTGATGATTTAAAACAAAAATAGCTACCAAAACTATTTTGGTAGACGATAGACAGAAATACTGCAGGAGTAATGTAGGTTTAGAAAAATTTAAAAAATTTCCTTTTATGGATCTCTTTAATGGTATATAATCTATCTTCACAAATTCTTATCAACTATCCGGTGAACAAGAACACTAGCCCTGGAGTCATATTGCCTGGGCTCAAATCCTGGCTCTATCCTTTAATAATTGTGTGACTCTGGGTAGGTTACATATCCACTGTTTGCCACATTTCCCGCATCTGTAGAATGGAGTTAATAATAGTATTTACCTGATAGGGTTGCTGTGATAGTTAAGTGGGATAATCCAAGAAAAGTATTTAGCATAACAGCTGGCTCAATAAAGGCTCAGTAAATGTTAGCTTTTGTTATTATGTCTCCCCCCATATGGACTTGTACCACTCCCAAATATTAGAGGGTTTTTTTTAGGGGGGGAGGGAGCAGATAGACATATAGATCAATGGAACAGAATAGAGAATTCAGAGATAGTCCCAACACATGTATGATCCATTGATTTGCAACAAGGTTGCCAAGACATTCATTTCAACAAGTGGTGCTGGAACAACTGGATACCCATGTGGGAAAAAAGTGAACCTCAACACTTACTTCACACCATACACAAAAATTAACTCAAAATAGAGTATGTATATTAAAAAAAAAAAAAAAAAAAAAAGCCCATTGCCATCGAGTCAATTCTGACTCACAGAAACCCTATAGGACAGAGTAGAACCACCCCACAGAGTTTCCAAGGAGCGGCTGGTAGATTTGAACTACAGGCCGTTTGGTTAGCAGCCATAGCTCTTAACCACTGCTCCAAGCTAAAATTAGAAAAAACAGAAGATCTCTGTGACTTTGAGATAGGAAAGATCTCATGGATAAGACACAAAAAGCATGAACCATAAAATTAAAAAATGATAAACTGGACTTCATCAAAATTAAAAACTTCTACTCTTTTAAAGACATTGTTAAGAAGATGAAAGGGCAAGCCACAGATTGAGAGAAAATATTTGCAATAAACATTTGTAAATGAACTCGTATCCAGAATATATAAAGAAATTTTACAACTCAGTAAGAAGACAAACTGCCTAATTAAAAATGAGCAAAATATTTGAATAGACACTTTAGAAAAAAGATATTAATAAACATATGGAAAGATGCTCGATATCATTAGACATTAAACAACCAAAAACCAAACCCATTGCCATCGACTTGATTCTGACTCATAGTGACCCTGCAGGACAGAGTAGAACTGCCTCGTAGAGTTTCCAAGGCTGTAATCTTTACAGAAGCAGACTGCTACGTCTTTCTCCCCACAGAGCGACTGGTGGGTTTGAACCACCAACCTTTAGGTTAGCAGCCGAGTGCTTAACCCCTGCACCACCAGGGCTCCTTTCCTTAGTTATTAGGGAAATGCAAATGAAAATCACAGAGAGCTACCACTACATACCCTTTAGAATGGCTGGAAGTAAAAAGACTGACACTACCAAGTATTGGCAAGGATGTAGAGCAACTGGAACTCTCCTACGTCACTGTTAGGAATGTAAAATGGTACAACCACGTTGCTAAACGATTTGGAACTTCCGTAAAATGTTCACCATGCTCCTAGCATACAACCCAGAAATTTCACTCTCAGGTATTTACCCAAGAGAAATGAAAACATATGTCACACACAGATTAGTACACAAATGTTCATAGAAGTTTTAATTATAATAGCCACAACCTGGAAAGAATCCAAGTGTCCATCAATAAGTGAATGGATAAAAATTTGAATACTGGTCAGCAAATAAAAAGAATGAACTACAACATAAATGAATCTCAAAGACACTATGTTGAGTGAAAAAAGCCAGAACATTGTATGTTTCCATTTATATGAAATTCTAGGAAAGACTAACGTGTAGACGTGGAATTCCAATCACTGGTTGGCTGGAGCGGGGATTATTGACTTGGAAGAAGCACAAGGGAACGTTTGCAGTCGTGGAAATGAAGTGTTCCATACCCTGGTTGTGGTAGTGGTTACATGGGTGTAGATGTTTTTCCAAAATCATCCAACTCTTCACTTACTACACATCTCATTGTATGTAAATTATGCCTCAATCAAGTTGATTTTTAAAAATCTTCCTCGAAAATCAGACTTGAGTTATACTTCAAAAAATAAGTACAATTTTAGGATATTTCCATAAAATGCTGGTTTTGTGGATTTTAATATGTTTGTCACATTAGCAAACAAATAGGTTTTTATTGTAGCAAGTCAGAATTTGTATATTTTAAGGTAAGAAGTATTTTCCCTTATATTAATTTGTCTATTACAAATAATCCAAAAAGGAAATTGAGTGCGTGGGTTGATAGGTGATTTATTTTAATACCTTGTTGCTGGTGGCCAAAGGTGCTGTGTGGACAGGTGACAACAGATCAGACTGGAGTTACCTGAAAATTTCCATCCCCATGTTACTCACTCTCAGCGTCACTGGGATCTCTTTCTGTGGAGGTAAGATGAGTCCTGTCCTGAGAAAATGAAAAACGGAGTGCTTTCCTCAAAGCCGGTCACAGGCCCTCCTCATTAGAGGGCTTGGGCGGGAGGAAATGAGGGACATGAAGGGAGCCGGTGAGAGGGAGGGGAGAGGAAGAGCCGCGTCAGAGCTGTTGGTGTCTTGTGCGAATTGAGGACAAGAAATAAAGTTGTCAGGGAAGGAGCCCGAGTGCTCCTTTCCTTCATCCACTCTCCGCTTCCTCCTGAGGTGCTCTTGATAACTGAGTTTCTCTTCCTGAAACATAACCTTTCTTGAAGTGAGGAAATGGAAAGAACTGCAAATAATTTAGCAAATCAGAAGTGAGCCTTAAGAATCCCCTTCTTATCGGCGGGTTTAAAATTCTGTGACAATCTTTAACTGTGTTAAAAAAAAAAAAATTGTCTTTCATGGGGTAAATAAATTTTGTTGAAAGAACATTCTCTGATGGGCTGCCTTCCCTGCACCCTAGCGACTCTCTGCAGATGAGAGACAGATGTGGAAGGTGCTTAGCATGGCTGCAGTTCAGCGGCTCCTTGTTTTCTGTAGGAACAGAAGCAATTTAATATCGCTTTTTAATACATGTGTTTTATGGCCTCAGACCACATACAATATGAGGAATACATACTTGTCCAAGGGTCAGCATGAAATTCTATCTAAACTTCCAATTCTGATGATCTGTTTCTCTTTAGTTCTTTCTATAATTTTTATCTTGGTTCAGCTGTTGCTTTCAAAGAAAAGCAAGAGTTAATCCCCACCTGACCCCACC